TCCCTCCATCCCATAACTCCCCCCAATGCCAGCTGTCATCTGCTCTCCATCTGTGAGTCTCTCTCAGTTGGCTTGTTAGTTCAGTTTGTTCATTAGATTCCACATGTAAGTGAAATCATGGGATATTTTTTCCTGTGACTGACATATTTCATTAAGTATAATGCTCTCTAGGGCCATCCATATTGTTGCAAATGGTGAATTTTTCTTCTTTTTATGGCTGAGTAGTATTCCTTTGTATAAATGCCCCATAGTTGTTTTATCCACTCATCTACAGATGGACACTCAGACTGCTTCCCTATCTTGGTGAGTGTAAATAATGCTGTAATGAACATAGGGGTGCTTATGTTCTTTCAAATTAGTGTTTTGGGTCCCTTTGGGAATAATCCCAGAAGTTGGATGGCTGGGTCAAATGGTAGATCCATTTTTAATTTTTTAAGGTATCTCCATACTGCTTTCCACAGTGGCTTCACCAGTCTGTGTTCCCACCAACAGTGCAAAAGTGTCCCTCTTTCTCCACATCCTTGCCAGCACTTGTTGTTTGTTGATTGATTGATGATAGCCTTTCTGAGAGGTGTGAGAAGATATCTCATTGTGGTGTTAATTTGCATTTCTCTGATATTTAGTGATGTTAAGCATCTTTTCATTGGTCTATTGGCCATCAGTATGTCCTCTTCAGAGAAGTGTCTATTCAGGTCCTTTGCTTATTTTTAAACTGGTGTTGAATTTGTAATTTCTTTATAAATGTTGGATATTAGCCCCTTATTAGGTGTATTGGTGAACATGTGGTATCATTCTGTGGGCTGTCTTTTTATTTTGCACCCATTTTCCTCCTCTGAGAATCACCTACCTATTTTATCTATGAGTCTGATTTTTTTTAAGTTCCCACATACAAGTGAGATTGTACAGTATTTGTCTTTCTCTGTCATGTTGATTCACTTAGCCTTATGGCACATCATATTCCATTGTACATACACCACATTTTCTTCATCCTTCATTTACCAACAGACACTGAGGTTGCTTCCCCATCTTGGCTATTGTAAATGATTCTGCAGTGAACATAGGGGTGTCTAGGGCTTTCCAAGTTAGTGTTTTTATTTCTTCAAAATAAATACCCAGAAGTGGAATTGGTGGATGTCAGGGCAGCTCTGCTTTCAGTTTTTGAGGATCTGCCACACTGATTTACATAGCAGCTGCTCCAACTTACATTCCCACCAACAGTGTAAGAGGGTTCCCCTTTTTGAACATTCTTGCCAAGACTTCTTTTTTCTTGTCATTTTTATAATCCAGATAGGTTGAGAGTTTCTAGACCTTCAATGATGTGATGTGGGGGCACCAACATGGAAATCCTACCTCCTTTGTCCTTTGCTTGCACAGGACAATCTTCTTCGCAACATGTGAAGAGTCAGGGGTAGGTATGGGTTGAGTTGGTTACCTCTGGTTCACATGTTCCCCATGGGAGAAGCAGACCCAGGTTTTGTGGATCCTCCTATTTACACTGATGTTGAGATATGTGCCTTGATGAAAAAGCAACATGTGGCACCCACAAATTTTTCTGAAATGGGAAAACACATCACATCAAGTAAGAAGAGCCAAAATGCAGAAAACCAAAATACAACACTAATCAGACAATTACAGACTATTTTGATTAGTACTGTGGCATTCCTGTCTGGCACAACTGCAGGACACAGGCCCCCAACAGTTTTTTGACTGATACTTTTTGATTGCTTCTTCATAGGAGAATAATTCTGTCTTACTGTAATAGTTATTAATATTACACTAGTAATCATTATTAATTATTATAATAATATAATGTTTATATAATATAGCCACTACAAAGAGATTTAGCATTTCCTTGGCACTGGAGATTGACATTTCATTTTCCTGTGTACTGTATTTTGCTGTGTATAAAGTACTTCCTTGTATAATGTGTGCCCACCTTTTTGGCCCAATGTTTCAGAAAAAAAAATCTTTCATTTTTAGTTTTGAGCTCAACTTTTTAAAATAAAATCCCACACTGAGGGCACCTGTGTGCTGTCACTGTTCCCCCCACTCTCTGACCCTGTACTTGTGCATCCCATGTCCCAGTGTCCACAGTGCATAGGGCTTTAACACTCAGCTTCCTTTTGGATTCCACCCTCCAGTGGAGTTGGGTGTAAATTCCTTCTACTCTTATCAGCACTTGGTAGTTGAAGCAAAATTTAAATGCATTCTTTCCCAGCACATTCTGTGGTTTTGGCTGGAGGGTGGGTCTCCTGAAGCACCAGGGACACCTCTCACTGGAATGACCCCTAGGTGACCTCCCTCTCGACTTCAACATCAACTGCAAGGTGATCACATTCAGATTCACATCTGGACAAGCCTCTCAACATCTGGTGCCTGTAGATCCACCTTCAGGGTCAGGTTGGGGGAGGTGACACAGGATGATTTCTCAGCCCTCACAGCACTCCCCACAGCCTGTGGAGCCCAAGTTCCCCTCCAGGCCTGACCACATTTCTGTAGCACATGGCTTCCTGTTGGGGTGTCATTGGCCCCACCCCACAGTTGGGCATTTCCCTCCCTGACACAGGGCTCTGGATGTGCTCTGCCCTGTGAGAAGCAAACATGCTGCCCCTACTGCTGCTGCCCCTGCTGTTGGGGATTGAGAGGGCCTGAGGAGAGGGGTGGAGAAGTGGGGATGGGTTGGGGCCAATTCTGAGTGTTTGTGTCCCCACAGGTTCCCTGCAGCAACTGCAGCAGCTGCAGCAGCAGCAGCGAGCCCATGGTATCAAGCTACAGGGATCTGTGAGCGTGCAGGAGGGTGGATGCACCAATGTGCCCTGCTCCTTCCCCTCTTTTTGGATACCATCGTATCCCTATGCTAAAATCTTCATCCACTTGTACCACAGTGGTCACCACTTACATAGCTCTGAAGCTGTGGCTACGAATGACCTAAATACACCAGTGAAGATGGAGACATAGCGCCGATTCTTCCTCATGGATCCCAGCACCAACAACTGTTCCCTGAGCATCAGAGACGCCAGGAAGAGTGATGGAGGGACCTATGTCTTACGAGTACAGAGACAATATACTCACCATAGTGATTATGAAGAGAAGAAGCTGACTTTGCAGGTGACATGTATGGCAGTGGTCCCAGGAGAGGATGCAGAGACATGGGACCCAGCTAGAACAACCACAGGACCCTGGGACACTACTTGATCCCAGCCTTGAGCCCAGGGTGTTAGAAGAGACACAGGACCTGGGGTGAGCTCAGGCCCTCAGCCATGGGTCCCAGGTTGGGTCACATTCTGGGTCCCCGTTGGAGCCCCAGGTCCTAGGCACCTCCCTCTCTCCTCCTCAGACCTGACACAGAAACCTGACATCCACATTCGGGGGCCTCTGGAGTCTGGCCGCCCCACACAGCTGACCTGCAGCCTGCCAGGGTCCTGCAAAGAGGGAAGTCCTCTCATCTTCTCATGGGTGGGGAGTGCTCTTGACTCTCTGAATCCCAAGACCCTTCACTCCTCTGTGCTCACCTTCACTCCGAAGCCCAGGGACCACGGCACCACAGTCACCTGTCTGGTGACACTTGCAGGACCTGGGGTGACCACACAGAAAACCATTCAGCTCAATGTGTCCTGTGAGTGTTGGAGGGACAGCTGGTGTCCTGGGGGCAGTGGGACTGACAAACCTGATTGTTTGTGTCTTTGTGTGTATTTTGTGTGTGTGTACAGTAGGCTGAGCTAAAGGAGGAAATTTATTTGCACATCTGAGTGTAGAAGGGGAGTGGGCCAGAGCACAGCTATGCCACCATTCTGGTTCCCACTGCCCCTCCTTGGGTTGGGGTGACTTCTATTCACTCCCTCTCTGAAGGCACGGCACATGTCTTTCTGTCCCAGATGCCCCAGAGAACCTCACCATAGGCGTATCATTCAGAAATGTCACAGGTATGAAAGAACCTCCCTCTGTGGGGTCGGAACCTGCCCCAGGGACAGCCATGGAGCTGAGGGATAATCAGAGTGTGAGTGGGATCATATATGGGGAGAGGCAAGGAGGAAAATTACCACCCTCCCTCTCTCACCTCTTGTGGGTTGGTGCATTTACCTGTGTTCTCTCTCTCTCTCTCCCCACCACTCTGCCTTCTTTCTGTCTCTGTCTGCATCTCTCTCCACTAGCCCTCAAGGTTCTGCAAACCACATCCCTTCCCATCCTGGAGGGCGAGGGCGTGCAGCTGCTCTGTGTGGCTGACAGCAACCCCCCTGCACAGCTGAGGTGGTTCCGGGGGCCCCCAGCCCTGAACGTCCCCCTCATCTCCAGAACAGCAATCCTGGAGCTGCCTCTTGTGGGGACTGGGGAAGAAGGACAGTTCACCTGCCAAGCTCAGCACCCGCTGGGATCCCAAAGTATCTCTCTCAACCTCTCTGTGGCATGTGAGTGTGGGGACCCCTGTGGGCAGGACACCTGGGTTTTGGGAGGGCAGAGGCACCACTGACACTTCTTGCTCCCCACAGACCCCCCACGTCTGCTGGGACCCTCCTGCTCCTGGGAGGACCAGAGTCTGCACTGTAGCTGTTCGTCCCAAGCTAGGCCAGCCCCCTTGCTGCGCTGGTGGCTGGGGGAGGGGCTGCTGGAGGGGAACCCCAGCAACACCTCCCACATGGTAACCTCCAGGTCCTCTGGGCCCTGGGCCAACAGCTCCATGAGCCTCTCAGCAGGGCTCAGCGCCGGCCTCAGACTCACCTGCGAGGCGAAGAATGTCCACGGGGCCCAGAGCGCCAGTGTCCTGCTGCTGCTGCCAGGTCAGGGGCCTGCTGGGGGTGGAGGCTGAGGGAGAATGGAAGGGATCAAAGGGAGGACTGAGCTGGGGAAAGAGGCTGTGGCCAGCAAGGGCGTCATTTGCTAGGACAGGACCCTCCATCTCCTGTCTGAACAGAACCTACAGCTACAGCGGGTTCTGCAAAGATGTGGGAAGACAAGACACAGAGTCCTGAGAGAGGATGGGCCCACGCTCCTCTTCTCTACAGAACAGGCAGTATTCGTGTGCAGAGTGGTTCCCGCTGCTCTTGGAGGTGCTGGTGCCATGGTGCTCCTGTCCCTATGCTTGTGTCTCATCTTCTTTTGCATGTAAGCCTGTGTCCTGGGGAAGTACAGGGAGCTGTGTCATAGAGGGTACATACAGAGAGAGGCCCCTAAATCCCAAAGGTGGAGCTAAGTCCATATGGAGAGGTCTTTATTAATATTTTTAAAGATTTTATTTATTTATTTTTAGAGAGCAGGGAAGGGAAGTAGAAAGAGAAGAAGAGAAATATCAATGTGTGATAGTCTTTTATGTGTCCCCCACTGGGGACACCTGGCCCACAACCCCAACATGTGCCCTGACGGGGAATCAAACTGGGGACACTTTGGTTTGCAGCCCATGCTCAGTCTGCTGAGCTACACCAGCCAGGGGAAGAGGGGTCTTTTTTGAGAGAGATTGGGTAGCACCTTTATTGAGATAAAATTCTTGTATTTATTTTATTTTTTAAAATATATTATTTATTTATTTTTAGACAGAGGGGAAGGGAGGGAGACAGGGAGAGAAACATCAATGTGTAGTTGCTTCTCGTGCACCCACTACTGGACACCTGGCCTGCAACCCAGGTATTTGCCCTGACTGAAAATCAAGCCGGCAACCCTTTAGTTGACTGGCCCGCGCTCAATCCACTGAGCCACACCAGCCAGGGCAAATTCTTATATATTTAAAATGTACAATTCAATGGCTTTTTATTCAGTCACAGAGTTGTGCACTTATCACCATAATTAATTTTAAATCTTTTTTATTAGCATAAAATGAATTTAAAAATCCCTTATTTGCCATTTTTGCCACCATCCTTGCCCCAGCCCCAGATAGACACTAATCTATTTCTTGTGTCTCTAGATCTGCCCATTCTGAACGTTTTCATATACATAGGAATCCTACAACACATGATCCTTTTTTGACTCTTTTTTTCACATAATAATATTTTCAAGGCTCATGTGTCATTTTTAATTTTTTTTATTCCAAATAATATTCCATGGCATGGATGCTGCACTTTTTATTTGTCTCCTCATTCATTGATGGACAGTTGGGTTGTTTCTACTTTGGGAGCTCTTAGTAATAACACTGGTATGATTGCTTATGTAGAAGTTTCTTCCTGTGTAGGGGCCCACTGTGATGTAAGTTTAGTCTTGGCCAAACACCTGGTCATCCAGGGGACGGAGCACTCACTTGCATGTCAGAAGGTCTCTGAGTTTGTTTCTGGGATTCGGATGCCTCAGTGGTCGTCTCAGGAAGTGGAGCCAGCCAGCCCACCTGTGCCTGAACCATTGTGGCTCCTGACTTCTTCCCTTAGAGTGAAATTCCACAAGAAGCGAATAGCCAGGGGACAAAAGGTCACAAATGATGAAGACCCTGTCATGGGTACAGTCACCTGGGTGTGTGATGTGAGTATCTTCTCATGCAGTGTAGGGGGAGGGGCTGGGCAAGTACCTTCACTGAGTGTGGACTGAGCTTCTCAGAATTTCCCCAAATCCGCTCCTCTGTGGTCAGCTAGACAGACAGCTGGGAGTTGACTTCCCCTTCCTAATATAGAGCCCAGGGTCAGCCTCCTGCCCCAGAGCTGCTGACCACTGAGCCCAACTCACCTCTCTGCCTGGTACAGCTTGACAGAACTGTCTTTCCAAAACTATCACTTTCTACCCATCTGGGCATGTTTACTTCAGCTCTCTGTCATCTCAGTTTTCCTCATCTATAAATGGAAAGAGTAAAACAATCACTTATAGTTGGTTTCTGTGAGAATGAAATTTGATTAGTAAGTCCTCGATATGGTCTAATGAACTGTAGTATTGCAAAATTTTAAATGAATGACAAATAGTTGAGTTCATGTGGACTGTGAATAAGAGGGTGAATAAAAACTGTTCCATTAGCTCAACTTCCCCTTGAGACCATGTCTGATTGATTCTTCTCTGGCTCTTTTCTCTCCCCTTCACTCAGGGTTCCCAGCAAAATCCACAGCCAGACAGGCCCCCACACCAACTGTCACCCATGGAAGATGCTTCTCTATCAGGAGAGGAGCAGGATACCCAGTACGCCAACCTCACTTTTCATGGGAGGAAGCTGTGTGAAGCTCAGAACAAGGAGGCCACCATCACATGCATGTACTCAGAGATCAAGAAGACCAGCCAATGAGGACTTGCTCAGAGCTTTGTCCTGGCCAGAAACATCATAGCCTCTCTGAGGGAAAGAAGTCAGAGACTAATTGATGAAATATGAGGAGATCTTGTGCAACATTAACATGAATCACCGTAAGAGCATCCACAGGCAGAGCAGAAAGAGGGCTGAAGTGCAGTCTTTGGCACTTCCTAAGGCATTGTCTTCAAGTGAGTCACTTCATTTTTTCCCCTCAGTTTCCCTCCTGTACAGCAGAGATGATACATGCTACTCAAAGGCAGCTGTGAGCATTAAAGAAATCACAAGCAACAGAGGTCCAGGGCTTGCCTGTCTCTCTTTTTTGAACAGAAAGGTCCTGGTGGCAAGTTCTCCTGAAGTCAGGGGTGACCAGTCATAGAAAACAGGGTGGCAGCTTGTTGGTGTCATTTCCATGCAGAACTCTTCAAAGCCTCCTCAGGGAAAGACACTGGACTTAGCTGGTGTTCCATTGTAATGTGGTATCTTGTAGTTTCTGTGGGGTCATCTCGCTTCACTTTTGCCTGTACATTCTTCCAGCATTTCCTGAGTGCCAGTCCCTTCCCCATCCCATATACAGCCCCACTGGGATCTTTCCAACAGCCTGTGAACTCAAAACAGGAGCTGACTAGGCATTTCATCACCAAAAAGAATTTTTTCAGAGACAAAGAAATGGCTGCGATGCAGCTGGTGTAGCCACAGCTAGCCACATGCACAACCTGGGCAGGGAAGCAGCAGACATGAAGCCCTTGTCACAGAGCAGAAGCAGAAGTTTGGGGGAGGGGCTGTTACCACCATAGAGCTCTGCTGTGACCATGGAGTGTTTCCAGTAAGGCTGCCAGCACCACATACGATGTGACAACATCACTGATAGGCCTTCCGATTCCTGGTGGGGTTAGTCTTCTGCAGTAAAACTGCACACACCAGAGAAGTGACCCCACCTTTCTCTTCCAAAATCCCCTCCTCACTCCCTGGCCTTAGATGGAACATCCCAGGTCTCTTTCCTTGGCACTTACCTTTCACCCACCCTCTCTCCCTGTGGCTTTGTTCCTCCAACTTTGTATGGTGGTTCCTACAAAAGGCTTAGCAATTTGAGATCCCCTTCCTGGAGGCCATGCTCCTTGGCTTTCATCAGGCACACCCCACCTGTCCTTCAAAGCTGAGTTCTTGGACAGCCTTGCTTGAGAGGGTGGACTAAAGAAACAGCTCACCATGTCCAAGACAGAAACACAGAAATGCTATCTTGCTGGGGTCTCAGCTTCTTTGGTGGGGAACACTTCCCATTTCTCTCCAGGAGTCCTTCTCTGGTCTAGTGGTGAGTGGATGTGTCACCCTGAAATAGGAGGTACATTTGTTATGATATTGCTGCTGGATATGTCTGTGTCCTTGGTGGGGAGAGCCAGGACTGAAAGAAGGCTCTTTGTTCAGGGACCTTGATGCTATACATGGACATGTGAATTGTTGGTTATAGCTACTAGCAAGACTGATTCCTTCAGGAACGAGTGTAATCAGCTATGATTTCATCTTTTTGTGGCTCCAAAGGCCACTTCTTCGTATTGATTGTAGACTGAGCAGATCTTAGAAAGCTTGTCTTCTTTCTTTCCTTGTATTCTTTTCTTTTGACTTAGAGGAGTGGAAAATATCTGCATGATTCTACCTATTATTCTAATAATTTGTTTCTTGTAAAGTTTGTTGATTTGCAGATTGGAGAAATAAAATTACATTCCTCTGTAAAAAAAGAGCTCACATTCCCCCTCCTCTGTATAGTTGATCTGATTTAATTTTTTAAAGAAAGCTCTAAGACAAAATCAGCCTAAATTCAATAGCAGTACCTTAGTGTTTAGTGCCTATCAATAAGCTTTTGGGTTGTAAGTACATTAGTCCCCCTTATCTGTGGGAAAGATGTTTCATGCCTCACACTGCAGATAGTACATCTTATTTACACCTGATTTTTTCTGTCTACACCTATGATAAAGTTTAATTCATAAATTAGGCACAATTAAAGATGAACAGAACTACTAATAATAGAAGAATTATAACAATATACTGTGAGGAAGGGTATATGACTGTGGTCTCTCCTTCTCTCACAATATCTTCTTGTACTTTACTCACCCCACATCCTGTGCTGTTTTAAGATGCCACAATGCCTATGTGATGAGGTGTAGGGAGGTGAATGACACAGGCATTGTGATAGAACATGAGGCTACTGTAAGGGTGACTTGACACAGGCACTTGGTAGTGGGACAATAGATCTGATAACCTAATTGGCTACTAAGGGACACACAAGGGGAGTAGTGTATACAGTATGGAGATGCTGGACAAAGGGATGGTTCATGACAGGGCAGGACAGACAGAGGCAGGAGAGGATTCATTATATTACTCAGAAAATCACAAAATTTAAAACATGAATGGTTTATTTCTGGGGTCTTCGATTTAGTAATTTTGGACCATGTTTGAACATGGATAACAGAAACCATGGAAAGCACAACTGTGGATAATGGGAGACCACTGTAATATACCTGTTTTTTCAGAGTTCCCTTATGGTTGCTGCTGAAGTGTGTCTTACAACAAGAACCACAAGGGCTGGTTGAGCCACAACATTGGCTGCAGTGGAGGAAATGTCTGTGGGGGCCCAGGTGACTCGCCCAGTGACACAAAACAAGCACCTGAATGCAGGTGACTTACTTTAGAAAGTGGCCTCAAGGAAAGAAGGAGACAATCACAGTGTGGAACTAGGAGGGCTTGGGTTCACCACATCCAATACATGAACCCCAATTTCCATGTGGTCAGAAGTTGAATTGTGACTCTTATTTTGGTAATAACTGGTTAAATCATTCTGCTCAGGACTTGTGCTGAAAATAACAAAATTCTCTGGGAAAAAAACGAAATAGATGACATAAAATTCCTCAATGTAGAAATACGGAATAATTAAAACAAAATGAAAATTGTAACTTATTGAGCTAGTATTTGGGAGAATGCTTTAATCCAGAAAATGAGACAGATATCTAAGCCAAGATACCAAAGTTTTCGATGGCATTTACCTACACTGATCATGTAGCTTTGGTTCTGTGGCCTTTGAGGCCTGGAAATGATAGTGAGGATACTGGCCCTGCCCAAGGTGGGGAGTTTCAAAGGAGACCATTCCCACATTGAGTAGGTATCAGGAGAAGGGTGAGTGAAAGAAAATCAAAGATGAGGAGAATGTCTGAACAGCATCCACAGGAAAAAAAAACAGATTACATTCAAAAGAGGAGCATTTTTAAATGGAAATATCAGTAGCAACCATGGAAATTAGAAGAAAGCAAATGCTCTCTTTAACTATCACTTTATAGTCTGTGCTCAGTAGAGATGATTCAAAAATGAGGAAGTAATGCAGACCCTTTGGATCAAGTACATGGGGAAAATCATTGCCAGTAGAATAAAGACATAGTTTTGAAATTCCTGAGAATAATAACAGCTAAGTCCAATGTGGTTTGGTGGGTAAATAGACTTTACATTTTCTCATATTTACATATTATCTAGGAGGTGAGAGAGCTTTTCCTTTACTAAAACTTTGGTAAGTTAATTATTTATGCAGTAAGCTTTATGGTCATGACTATACAAACATAGTCATAATGTATAGGGAAATAGAATACTTCAAAACTTAGTAAACCAAAGAAGACTAAAAAGATAAAGTAATGTGGCATTGTTGGCACATATGTAAAATAAATTTAATGTAGGAAACTTATGTTGAATACAATTGGATAAAAGCTTCAGTGAAAACCAGAGAGTCAGCTTGGATTAGTAGTATGCACTTTATAAGATATGCTTCTAAATTACAAGAATAGAAATGTCAAAATTCAAAGAAGACAAGATTATATACTGTACTAACATAATAAAAAGAAAGCTGGAGGAGTCTTAATTAAGTCATACAAAAACCACATCACTACATCACTACATTTATATGAAGTTCTATAGCAACTATCTTGTTGAAGAACAGGTATGCAGGTATTATGATTACAGGGAAAGGCAGAAAAATAGAGGACCCCAAGTGTCATGATGGTGGCAACCAATGAGGGGCTTGGAGAGGAAGGGAAACAAAGAGAAATTCTGAGACTCCTGGGGAGTTTTCCTGTTTTTTTCTTGACTTGAAATGTGATCCCTTAGGGTAACTTATATGTTTATATACTATAAACTATTTTAATAAGATACCATATTACGTATTTGTAATTTTTATAAAAATAATATTATTCTATTAAAAGACAATATAATAAAGTACTATAGGTTATTATTAATTATAATAATCACTTATATAATTATATTTATAAGACATATTTATATAATGTAAACTATAATTAATATATAACATTTACAAAATGTAAACTCTACACATATTTTTCACAAGCAATACATGTAAAATATTTCAAGCCAGGACATGTCTTAGGTTCCAATGGTTGCCTTTTGTGGAAAAATTGGAAGGAAGAATAACATGAAACAGCTTGATGACAAATCAGAGGGATGAGAGGAAGAGCACAGACATGAATCCAGCCCACTGCCACACCTTCTCCTAACTTTGCCTTCGCAAGGACCCCCGCCTTTCCGAAGCTTCTCCATCCCAGGGGCCCTGCTTTCCTAAGGCTCAGGCCCTTTTGACTGTGAACTGGGGTCTGTGGCAGAGGGAAACCCAGGTGTGCTCCAGGACCAGGGACAGCGCCAACCCTTCCACAAGGAGCTCTCAGGTCTGACAGGAGGACGGGGCGCCCCCTGGAGGCACAGGCTTGTCCTGCCTCATGCAGAGGTAAGGCTGGGGAATGAAGCTGATGGCATTCTGTCTAATAGGACAAAGGTGCACGCAAACTCCTCCTCAGTCCCCCTTCGACACCCTCACATCCTAGGGAAGAGGAGCCCTAGCTACAGAGAAACAGTGCATTTCTCAGAGGCCACTGGGTTCTATGCCCCTCATGGCTGACTCCAGAACACCTACATCAGACACTTGCCCTTCCTTCTTTTCCTCACAACAGTGGGTTGATATGTTCTTTTTCCTTTAACCCCTTCCTTGTACTGTCACGGAGCTCTTCACAATAGGAAACATGATCTGTGGGTCTTTTCTGTGCCTGGCAGTATCCAGTCGCAATTCAGGTCCAATGAAGAAATGAAGAATCAGAAGTCTGTTTGAGATGTTGTATTTAGAGCTCTTAGGTCACTGAAATAATTTCTAAGTTTCAATTCATTGTACATGAAGTGGAATATATTCAGACTGGGAGAGACTTCTGTGACCTCAGTGGAGCAGAGCAGGGAGAATGTTATCATGAAGGGCAGAGCAAGCCAGGCAAGGTCAGGAGAAAATGGAGGTGGGGTAAGGAGAGCCAGATTCAATAGATCCACAAAGATGGGAGGTCTTTCCTGACTGGAAGAAATGTAAAGAAGTTACAAGGTGAGAGTGCAGGGTCTGGGAACCCTTAGATTGAGCTCACAGCTTCACAAGAGTCCAGTGGGTGTCTAACCACAAACTGTGAGAAGAAACCCACCAGCAGTACCCTGACCACTGGGGCTGGAGACAGAGCTGTCCTTCTAAGTTCTGAGCATGAGGGGCCCCTTGACCTGAGTGTGAGTTCAGCCACCCCTTCTTGTGGCTTCTTTTGTGACCAGACTTGGGCTGAGGACCAGGACAGGGAGAGGATGGGTTTCAGGTAGGGCCTGTCCCCCTGACCCTCCTGCTCCTACAGATGTTCTGAGAAATATGAGAGAGCAGAGACAGACCACTCTTGGTGCATTCTCTGAGGGGGATGGGGATGACCACTTGGGACAGGTGGCATGAGTGGCAAGTGGGATACAAAGGGGCCATCGTGATAGGCTGTCACCAGAACTAGGTGAGGAGATGTCCAACTTCCCTCTTCTTGTCACTGGAAAGAAGGAAAGCTTCTTGCACAGGGAAGGTTTGGGATACCACCCTCCAGAAAGAGTGATAGATAGCAATATACTCCTTCCCAGAGAGCAGGGACTGACCCTGTGAGCTCAGGGGTGCTGGACATGACCCTCCAAGGCCACATGGTGCTGCTGCACCTGCATGTGGGGTAAGAGGGCTGTAGGACACTGTGCTTCTTCTTTATTGGGGAACAACTTAGAGAAGCATCAGAGAAGCTGCAGGTGTGAGGATTGGGGACACTGAGGACAAAGTGCCTGTGTATCCTTATGCTCTCATCTTCTCTCATCCCAAAATCTATGGGTTTACTGTAGAATAGTCTATGTCTTCTGGTTTAAGGAAGAGACCAACATATGCCATGATCTTCCTGTTCTGGAACAGAGTTGGTCAAGAGCTGCAGGAGGTGACCAGCAACCTTGGGCCAATCCAACCTCCTTGGGAACCTCCACCTGTTATGGTTCCCTGAAAACACAGGTGTCAGGATGGGGAGGGCAGGACATGGCTCCTTCAGGAGAAAACTGCTTAGGAGATCCTGTCACAAAGAGGAAACACCCTCTGTGGTTGGGACATGTAGGGTCAGAGCCTCAGACAGAAGGCAGAGTTAACGTGGAGGACCCTCCTGGTGTCATATGTTTCTGAGTGGTGTCTCTGTCCCCTTTCTCCTGCTGACTCAGATACCTGACATCCACATCCTGGGGACCCTGGGGTCTGGGCACAGGGGTTTGGTGAGGGAATATGGCATTCCGCCTTTACTGGCAACATTTGACCCTGAGTCCAGCACACATGTCATGATGCAGAAAGTCTTGTGTATCCTTGCAC